GGTGGCGGGATGCAGGAGGGTGAGGATGAGGATGATGAAGGCTGATTCCCCCCCCCCGCCATGTTTTGTCCCCAGGAGGCCCGTGGGCAGGTGGAGGCCGGGCGGGAGGTGGCGGGGGGGCTGCGGCGGGAGCTGGGGGACAGCGAGCGGCGGCTGGGGACGCTGGAGCGGCGGCTGGAGCAGCTGGGGGCTGAGGCTGGGGGCTGCCGGAGGGCGCAGGAGGAGGCGCAGAGGGAGGTGGCCCGGCTGCGAGCGGAGAGCGAGGTCCTGCGCAGGTACCTGCTTGGCCGTCTGTCCGTCCCCAGCTCCGTCCGTCTGTCCCCAGCTCCGTCCGTCTGTCCCCGGCTCCATCCATCTGTCCCCAGCTCCATCGGTCTGTCCCAACCTCTGTCCGTCTGTCCCCAGTTCCATCAATCCATCTGTCCCCAGCTCCGTCCGTCTGTCCCCAGCTCCATTGGTCTGTTGCAAGCTCCGTCTGTCTGTTCCCAGATCCATTGTTCCATATGTCCCCTGCTCCATTGGTCTGTCCCCAGCTCCGTCCATCTGTCTCCAGCTCTGTCCGTCTGTCCCAAGTTCCATTGGTCTGTTCCCAGCTCCATCAATCCGTCTGTCCCCAGCTCCGTCCGTCTGTCCCAGGCTCCATTGATCCGTCTGTCCCCAGATCCATCCGTCGGTTCCTAGCTCCATCCGTCTGTTCCAAGCTCCATCGATTCATCTGTTCCCAGATCCATCAGTCTGTCCCAAGCTCTGTCTGTCTGTCCCGAGCTCCATCAATCCGTCTGTCCCCAGCTCCGTCAATCCGTCTGTCCCTGGCTCCATCCATCTGTCCCCGGCTCTGTCCATCTGTCCCCAGCTCCATTGGTCTCTTCCAAGCTCCATCCGTCTGTTCCCAGCTCCATCAATTCGTCTGTTCCCAGATCCATCAATCCATCTGTCCTGAGCTCTGTCAATCCGTCTGTCCCCAGCTCCATCAATCACTCTGTCCCCAGCTCCGTCCGTCTGTCCCAAGTTCTATCAATCCGTCTGTCCCAAGTTCCACTGGTCTGTCTCAAGCTCCGTCAATCCGTCTGTCCCCAGCTCCATCCATCTGTCCCAAGCTCCATTGATCCATCTGTCCCCAGCTCTGTCTGTCTGTCCCGAGTTCTGTCTTCTGTCCTGAGCTCCGTCAATCCGTCTGCCCCCAGCTCCGTCTGTATGTCCCGAGCTCCGTCTGTATGTCCCGAGCTCCATCAGTCTGTCCCCAGCTCTGTCCGTTTGTCCCAAGCTCTGTCCATCTGTTCCCAGATCCATCAATCCATCTGTCCCAGGCTCCATCAATCTGTCTGTCCCCAGCTCCCTCCATCTGTCCCAAGCTCCATCAATCCATCCGTCTGTCCTGAGCTCCATCTGTCTGTCCTGAGCTCCATCGATCCATCTGTCCCAAGCTCCATCTGTCTGTCCCAAGTTCCATCAATCCGTCCGTCCCCAGCTCTGTCTGTCCATCCATGCACATCCTGTGCTGTCTGTCTGTCCCTCCAGCCCCACATATTCCACTCTGCATGTCTGTCTGTCTGTCCCTGTGTGTCCTGCCCTGTCTGTCTGTCCTTCTGGCCCCACACATTCCTGTCTGTATGTCTGTCTGTCTGTCCCTGTGCGTCCTGCCCTATCCGTCTGTCCCTCCAGCCCCACACATTCCTGTCTGGATGTCTGTCTGTCCGTCCCTGTGCGTCCTGCCCTGTCTGTCTGTCCCTCCAGCCCCACATATTCCACTCTGCATGTCCATCTGTCTGTTCCTGTGCATTCTGTCCTGTCCGTCTGTCCCTCCAGCCCCACATACTCCACTCTGTATGTCTGTCTGTCTGTCCCTGTGCATCCTGCCCTGTCTATCTGTCCCTCCAGCCCCACATAGTCCACTCTGTACGTCTGTCTGTCCGTCCATGCACATCCTGCGCTGTCTGTCTGTCCCTCCAGCCCCACATATTCCACTCTGCATGTCCGTCTGTCCATCCCTGTGCATCCTGCCCTGTCCATCCGTCCCTCCAGCCCCACACATTCCTCTCTGTATGTCTGTCTGTCCATCCCTGTGTGTCCTGCCCTGTCCGTCTGTCCTTCTGGCCCCACACATTCCACTCTGTACGTCTGTCTGTCCATCCATGTGCATCCTGCCCTGTCTGTCCGTCCCTCCAGCCCCACACATTCCCCTCTGTCTGTCTGTCCGCCCCCGGCGCATCCCACCCGGGAGCCATCTCCCCGTCCATCTACCCACCCGTGTCCGTCTGTCCGTCCCTCCGCTCACCCCTGTCCATCCGTCTGTCCGTCTGTCCCCGGTGCCAGGGAGCGGCAGCGGGCGGAGGAGGCCCTGGCGGAGGAGCAGCAGCGGGTGGGTGCCCTGCAGCAGGAGCGGGCGCAGCTGCAGCGCCGGGGCCAGGGGCTGGAGGACGCCCGGGACGAGGCCACCCGCGTCGCCCAGGACACCCGCCAGCAGCTGGAGCAGAGGTGGGGGGCATGGGGGGGACACACACACACGACATGGTGGGGTACACAGTGTGGGGGGGTGCTGCTACCCCCCCAAGTTGGGTGCTGCTGAAGTCTCCCCCCCCACAACTGGGTGCTGCAGCCTCCCCATGGAGTGGGTGCTGCAAAATCTCAGTGGGGCTCCTGAAAGCCCCCCCCCCTCCAAGAGGGTCCC